TTTTTTTTTTTTTTTTTTTAGAGAGAGATTTTTGCTATAGGGTACACACACTAGCCACAGAGACAGAGAAAGTAAGAAATCACCCCCACCACCACCACCACCAAGGGGGATGGTCATACCACAATCCCTTCTCTTCCTGGGATTTTGGGCACTCATGCATACATGTCTGGCATGAGTTTTAACCCACTGGGGCTGGGACTAGAACCATGGTTGACTATGTGGGATTCCAGTGATGTAACCATTTCACCATCTGCTGGTCCCATGGTCCACACTTAATAATGGGGGAATTAGTTCAACTACAGTGACTCTGCTAGTATGTGGATAAACCAGGCTTTTAAACTCTGTCCTGTCAGACTCTTAGACCTGAGATTTTAAATATTATCACTACTGCCTCACAGCTAAGATAGTATGGATATTTTAAAAAATCTCATATAGTATTAGATATTAAAAAGATTTTTTAAAAGAAGAAATAATTAATGAAAGGGATAAAGTAACTATAAAGTAAGTTATAATCTTATAAAATATTTAAATATTGTTAGGCTAATTAGATATCTTGAAACATATTTAAAGTACTATTAAGCTAATATCAAATGCCATTATTATAAAGAATGAATTTAAAGAATTATTCTTAAAACTTAGTAAGATGATTCATCTCACTGTTTATGTGATTACCCTAAAATAACTATAATAACTATGAGAGAATTGTGAACATTACAAAATGTAAATTTTAGTTTATTTTTGGCTATTGCAAACATAAAATATTATGTAGTACTTTTTTGACATGACACTTAAAAATATAACAATATCAAAACAAATCACATTATAAAAATGTAATTGTTATTATCACTACAGATTGTTTTAATTATTATTAACATTGTTATTTTGCTAAATGTGAGGGTTTACTATTTATGTCTGAAAATGTAGAAAGTCTTAAGTTTCTACATTTTGGCTAGCCAAGTTATGATGATTCAGTAATATTAAGAATTTATATACAAATATAAATGGTTGTAACTATTATTGTTTATAAGGACATTGCTAGATAAATCTATCCTTTTTAAATTTGAGTTTACATTTGAAATATTGATTCTTTTACCTTCTGCAAAAGCCACTATTACAGGATTTCAAATCTCAAGGTAAGCACTGAATGACAGGATAAAAGAGAGTACATTGTGGGTTTTGAATAAACTTTAACCAATTGGTTTGCTACTTGTGTCTTCCTGTAAGACATTCATGCTTTTACTTTTTATTACCTTTAGGCCCTTTGAACAGTTTGATTTCCACAACAGTCTCCAAAATGGGTCGTCTTCTCCGCACATACAATCGGACGATAGACCCCGCTTCCTTGAGGGCTTCAACCGCTTTACTGTGGGAAACCTCTGACACGTCAACCTCATTCACCCGCAAGATACAATCATTGACCCTGGAAGAAAGAGACAAGATTCAGGAGTGGTTATGAGGGTTCTGAAAGAATATTATTATGATTATCAAGTCTTGGATGTGAGGAAGTAAAATTGTTCGAAATTGAAAAGTTACTTGAAATGAAGGAAATCTAGAAAATATTCCTAACCTTTCCCACCCTGAGTGCACTACTGGTCAGGTTCCATTCTAAACTCCAGTCCCCTCTGATTGAGACTGTCACTTGTGGCATAGTTATAGGACAATTTCAGGTCTCAGTCAATTATTTATTTATTTTTGAAAGTTTTTTTTGTTGTTGTTGGTGGTGTTGTTGTTGTTGCCATAGGGTGCATGCGCTTACCAGAAAGACAGAGAGGGATGGACAGATAGAAGCGAGGGATCACCCTGAGGGGGGATGGCCACACCGCAATCCCTTCTCCTTTATTCTCCTCTTGGGATCTTGGGCATGTACACACACACACACCTGGTGTGAGTTTAAGCCACCAGGTCCAGGACTTGAACTGCAGTCAACTACATAAGAGTGTAGTTATGTAGCCATTACACCAACTGCTCGTCCTAGGTCTCAGTCAATTATATCAGTAGATTGCTTGGTTCTAATTGGTTTGACTGAAGGTTGTAACTTGAGTAGTTCTCAGAATTTACTACTATGGACTATTATAGGCACATAACTAACTTTAATGATAGATAATTTTTCTCAAATTTTTAATCTGCTAGCTACAAAAGTAAAATACAATCTTTTTAAAAATCTACAAAATATGTAAGTGTAGAAAAATGAAAAATATACATGACTTAACCATCTAAAATAAACCTGTTAGCTTTCTGGTAAATTATCTTTTAGTATTTTTTTTCCTCAAATTCACCTCATAATATTACAAATAGTGGGAGACCAGCAATTAGCATAGTGGCTATGTGGTTGGACTTCCATGTAGTTGACCGTGGTTCAAGTCCCAGACTTGGTGGCTTAAATTCATGCCAGGTGCATGTGCGTGCATGCCCAAGATTCAGAGAGAATGGAGGAGAAGGGGTTGTGGCATGGCCATCCCCCCTGGGGGGTGATTTCTTGCTTTGTGTCTCTTCTGGTTAGCGCACGTGCCCTATAGCAAAAAACAAAAACAAAAAAACAAAAAAACTCTCAAAAAATATACATATTGAAGTTCAGAGCTGATAAAGTTCAAAGAGAATCTCAGGTAAAGTAAACATGATGGATCGCTTACCCAAATTCCATTCCCTACTTTCTCCTTCCCAGAGTCTACTTTTGTTCAGGGTATTTACTCTTTAGAAATATTTATGGAAGGGGCCAGCAGATGGCATAATGGTTCTGTTGCTGGACTTTCATGTAGTTGACTACAGTTCAAGTTCCAGACCCAGCAGCTTAAAACTCATGCCGGGTGTGTGTGTGTGTGTGTGTGTGTGTCCAAAATCCCAAGAGAACAGAAGAGAAGGGATTGTAGTGTGGCCATCCCCCTAAGAGGTGATTTCTCACTTTCTGTCTCTCTGTCTCTGTCTCTCCAGTAAGCACATGCACCCTAAAGCAAAAACCTCTCAAAAAATATTTGTTGAATAAATGAAATGAGTCTCAGTTCAATTATTGAGTCTTCTATGTCCTTAGTTTATAACCGTGAGTAATTTTCTTAATCTCTCTAAATCTCCATTTTCTTATCTATAAATTGTATATAATAGAAATATCTGCTATGAAAGCTTCTGGGAAAGATTAAATGCGATAATATAATGACATAATATAAGCTCTTAGCACAGATGCTGGTATGTAATGATGGCCTAACAAATTCTTGTTTTTGATGACAGTACACTATTTCTTGATTTATAATATTCTATACTATTGAATCCTCTCTAACCTTGTGGAATAAGACTTATTTTCTACATTTTAGAAATAAGAATAGTTTTGGGACCAGCAGTTGGCGTAATGGCTATGTTGCTGGACTCCCATGTAGTCGACTGCGGTTCGAGTCCCAGACCCAGTGGCTTAAACCCACGCCAGTGCCAGTGTGTGCGTGCTCAAGATCCCAAGAGGAAAATGGAGAAGAAGGGATTGCAGTGTGGCCATTTTTCCTGGGGGATGATTTCTTGCTTTCTGTCTCTCTGTTTCTGTCCGTCTTTCTGGCGAGTGTGCAAGCAAAAACCTCTTCAAAGGAAAAGAAAAAAAGAAATAAGAATAGTTTTTAACTGGTTAAGTCCTTTGTTTAAAGCTGTCAGCAATTTCAGTAGAGACTGGATTTGATCTCAGTTTTTCTCTGTTTTTGTTTTGGGCTCTTTCCTGTTAGAATCATGGGTATCTCATGTGATGAATAGTTTCATGTATGTTGTGCACATCAGTTCAATATTATAGGACCATAGTGGAAATATTAAACATGAAGTATGGGAAGAGTTTTCTTTCTTTTAATTTTTTTTGCCTATGAATTTTGTCTACCTGTGTGAGCAGGTAAGTTACAAGAACACTTGCCTCAGTGAGAACACCGTGCAGCCTCAAAATCCTGAGTTGAAATATTTCACTTACATTTCACTGACATTGTTCTTTCATAACAGATGCTATGGCTTTAATAGGTTTATACATACATTTCCTCTCCAACTAAATAAAAAAATATCGCAGAAAACTACCAATTAAAATAGTTTTAGAATGTAGGCTCATGGGTGCCAGCCGTCTTGCAGCAGCTGGTCCTTTGAGAGTGGGTAATTTTGCCATCTCACGATAATACAAAAACATAATGTTTACCCTCACCCTATGCTCAGAATACTAAGCATATCTGGAAACACTGCTTTCCTAGAAGGGAGTAGTTGCCATTAAAAAAATATTCTGGAGGCGCTATCTATTTAAACTCTACTAATGTTGTTCTTTTGTATACAGTGGGATCCTTCACTGTCACTTGCTGGGTGTGGGAGGTCACAGCCCAAGTCAGGAGGCTGCTCCTGAATATGTGGGTGAAGCAGGAAGCATTGGTGTAGAATCAGCAGTCAGGAGACCCAGCACTGGGTCAAACCTGTGGCTATGGTCACATCACCCCGTCTTTGACCTTCCATTTTTCCATGAGAAGAGAACACACATGCCCACAGTTGTGAAAGGGGTACCAGATAGTTCATGTGTACAGGTATATGTGCAAAATGCATTAAACTGTCATTTGATCCATAGGCAGATCAAGTGTGCTCAAAGATTTATTAAAATGTGAACAGGGTGGAGAGTTAGATTTTTAGAGGATCTACTATGTACCCTATCACTGGTCACTTCACTTATTCACTCTCACTTAAATTTATGAAGCATTGATCCTGATTTTATAGACAGTGGAATTTCACTGACAAGGTCATCATGTTGATGACAGAGAAATGATTTTAAGCTTGTTTTGTCTCTTCCTAGAGCTTATGATGCTTCAAGGGTACTCAGAGGTGATTGCATTAAATTAAAAAAAAAAATCAGGTGTGTGTGTGTGTGTGGGGGGGACTTTACATTCAAATTCTTCAACTAGAGAGGAAAGAATGTCAACATGTCAACCCCAAGTAGGATACTCAACTTTCTTTCTTCCCAATCACTTGAAATAGAATTTGACAGGGGGGAGGGGGGGTCATAGCCATTTAAAAATTTGTTCTCTCTACCAGCTACTAGTCTTTATGAGTAAAGCAACCATTTGTACTCATTTTGGATCATGTAAATATATCATTAGCTTCAAATTCCAGGTCTACTTTGTCTACGTCAAAGGGGTAGCCTTTATCATATTTCCAAGTCATTTTATCAAAGACTTCTTCCCTACTTCACTAATAATACTAAGTTGATGATTTCACTCCTTCAGTGCTTACTGTTTCAGATATAAGTTGAATATTCACCTTTAGCTGTTTCATCGCCATTTGTGGACCATAACTGTCTGCAAGAATAAAAACTAATTTAGGGGCCAGCTGTTGTATGGTGGCAGAGGCAGCTGGATTTCACATGGCCACGGTTTAAATCCTGGACTTGATGGCTTGAAAGACATGCCAGGCCTGTGTGTGTGTGCCTAGAATCCTGAGACAATGGAAGAGAAGGGATTATGGCATTGCCATCCTGCATAAAAGGTACCTTCTCATGTTTCCTCTCTCTGGTGAGTGCATGCACCCAATAGCAAACTTTAAAAAAACAAAACAACTCATTGTAGTCATTATCTAGAATTTCCTTTTGAAACTTTGATGCCTTTCCTTGCAGAAAATATCATAGAAACAAAAAGGATATTTAATTATCAACACATATCTGCAGAATCACATCTAAATGATACTTAACAAATTACTAAAAGTTTTAACATTGACAAGATAAAATGTGTAAGTATACTATTTCATAAATATTAAAATGTTGTGCTATTAAAATGGAATTTGTGATTTTTATACATTTTTAAGGATAATTCAGTAAAAAATCATCACTAAATCATAGTAAGGTAAAAATTTAAAAACCTTTTGTTTATTATGCATACAAAATATTGAAAGGAGGAGAGTAAACTAGCTCTGCTTCTTTGTGGGTATGACATAATGGATTTTTTTTTTTGAGAGATTTTTGCTATAGGGCACATGCATTTATGAGAGAGAGAGAGAGAGAGAGAGAGAGACAGAGACACAGAAATCATTCCCCAAGGGAGAAGGTCATGCCGCGATCTCTTCTCCATTCTCTTCTTGGGATTTTGGGTTCACACACACATGTGCCTGGCGTGAGTTTTAAGCCACTGGGTCCATTCAAACTGCAGTTGACTATGTGGGAGCCCAGTGATGTAACTGCTACGACATCTGCTAGTCCCCATAAAGGATGTTTAAAGAAGCATTTTTCTACTTTTATGTTTTCTCCAAACATCCCATAGTGAATATATATCATGTTAGAGAACCTAAGAACATGGACCTGGGAACCTCGACTATATTTAGGTATACTTGGGGTCTTGTCCCAGATGTAAAACATAAGAGCTTAGGACTTGCATGGGCAAGTTACCTGGTAATTTTTTTTTTGTCCTTTCTTTCATCATTATTATTATCATTATTTACATTTAA